CCGCACCGGCCGCCCGGGAGCCGAGGGCTGCTAAGAGGACACGGTCACGGCCGTCAGGGCTCCGTTCCGGGTGTAGTAGAACTTGCTGAATGCCTCTTCAAGTAAACAGGTAAGTCTGCTCTGGTCAGCCTGGGAAGAACAAGCTACAGTGAGGGGAGGGCCCGGCCTGTGCAAAGCTAGGGGCTTGGCGGAAGCCTGCCAGGGCACAGGGGCAGGTCTTACTTCTCCTACCTCCCCAGCTAGAAAAGGAGCGATCAGGCATGAATCATTTAAGTTTGAGAAAGGAATGCAGACCTCTATCCTGGCCCGAGCCCCAGGCCTGCTTACCTCACTGATGAATCCAAGCTGGACCAGTTCAGCTGCCAGCTCCTGGATGTTGTCATCTGCAACAGAGATGGGCGTTAAGTCCCAGGTCTGAGTGCGCTGCCGGCCCCAGGGCATGGAAGGAAAGGTACTTACTGGGCTGCAGGTCACAGCTCAAGTGTCGATTCAACTTGTCTTCCAGTTTCAGCAGCAGTGTTAACTGTGGGGTAGAGAAGTTCTCGTGAGGGACTGCATGGTGGCCACAGACAAGCCAGGAACATCCCCAGGAAATCTGCCCTCCAGAGCCCCATAGGAGTCTAACAGAACCACCACAGCCAGTTCCATCCCAAACCACAGCCAGTTCCATCCCAAACCACAGCCAGCAGCACCATCTGGCTAAGGAAACCCAAATCTAGGGGCAGGCCAAAAACATTCCCTCTGTGCCAGGTCAGCCACAGGCAGGGGCTTGGCTCTGGCCCCCAAAGGCAGCAGAAGGTGACACCAGGCACCAGCAGCACACCAGCACGCGGGAGCCCCAAGCCCTGCGCAGCTGCCCCAGTACACCCCCACGCGGCACGCCCAGGCAGAAGATGGGAACATACATGATGCTTCACTCCCTCCTCTACTGACTCAATGTTGCACTGCATCAGCACCACCTGGAAGGGGAGCAGAGACAGCCTGTGACCGACTGCTGCTGCACCGCACGGCGGCCTGGCGAGCGGAGGAATGGAGCTCCCATCTCTCACCTTGCGGGTCTCCACCTCAGCAGGCTCTGGAGTCGGGGTCTTCACTGATGGTGGAGCAATGGGAGATTTCACTACTACCTGCTGGGGCTGCTGGGGTCGCGGCATCCCAAAAGCTGTGAGTGGGTAGATACCATTCCTACAAGAAAGGAGCAGGGTCTGAGGTTATGCCTCCCTGAAATTTTTCCAGTCTCACACAGTTAAAGTTGCCCTTTAAAAAAACCCTCTTACCTCACATCCTCCAGGAACTTGTCCAGCTCCAGCGCTGGAGACTGTGAGAAGCTGGGGAGTGAGGGGTGAAAAAGAAAAAAGTACTGAGGTGAGAAGTCACCTAACAGAACCATCCACTCGGGTCTCTTCAGATGCAATTTCAAACCCCCATGTCCTAGACTACAGCTGTGTCAGTGGGCAGGATGAGTACAGACAGAGGTAGCCAGCCAAAGGCAAGAAAAACTTCAATCCTCCTGTACAGGAAGAAACTATTCACAGAAGCTAAGGATGAGGCACTATTTTAATTATGGCAGAACAGGTATCAGCTCCCTGTAAAGAGCTGTCTAATGCAAACAATTATTTGGAAGCTAGCCCAATAACACCATGTTCCTAGCAAGGTTTTTCAGACATCTGTTATACCAGACCCATGAAGCCTGTGTCCCATCTCCAGAAGAACAAAGGCACTCAACACTGCAAAGGCAAGAACTTCTGCAGCAGCTGATGGCACAGTATGACCAGCCATATCACTCCAGACCAGAAACTAGAAGCTACACCTCAGGATTTAATGCCCTGCCCAAATATTTCTCACTTCAGTTTGAGACACTTTTATTCTCTCTAGTTTCTTTCCCAGATTGCTCAGTCAGCTTCTTAATGTAGTGTCTCAGAGGAAGTCTTCCTACCAATTCATTTTTAATCCCCAGCCTCTAATTCCATTGAGCATCTTCCTTGCTGGTGGCTGATGGAGGATAGCAAGCACTGACAACGCCTCCCATTTGTGCCATAACTTGTCGTATGCCTACTGCTCTTCCTCTTTCTCACCCTCAAGAACATACAGTTCCTCCATGTGGTGATAATGATGTCCAGCCACTTGGTGAAGTCAGTTCTCTGATCTGCTGAAGGACTGTTCACAAAAGGTTGCCACTTTGTACATGTACATTGTGCAGGTAACATCTTTAGTTCACCCAGCTACCATAACCTGCTCTCCCATTATCTGGCACCCTGATATCATACTTGCTCTCATTTACAGCTGCACAGCAGTGCATTTTCAACAAGCTGGAAATGGTCTTTTCCTGTGGTGTTACTTCACGGCCTTCTCAAACAGAGAAGCAGTTCTTTTTTTCTCTAAAACTATTATCGTCTTTTGCACAGCACAGGGAGTTAGCAACATCAGAATAGCCCACAGCAAGTACCTCACTTCTTTCTGGTTTTGACTAACAAGGGAGACACAGGTTCTACTTTACTAATTCCCTAGTAAAACACTTTCCTCATATCCTTGGTCAGTTCAGCTTTTTAGTATCCACTTGACCACAGCTGCTTTTAGACTGGTTGCAACAAAAACTCTGAACAGCCAGTCTTCCCCATACCACTGTCTTAAGACTGCTTTGAAGAATTTCAGAGACTAGCCAGAGACTGCAAGCTGCTCAAATCCTACCATGATCCCCCTTAAGTGCTTTGCTGTTCCATCAGATCTGGTATAGGCTGCACATCCGCCTCAGTTCCCCAGACCAGCCTCCAGCCCTTTTCAACACACACAACATCTGTTACCTTCCCACCCTCTAGCAGAGTAGTAGTTTTCAGCAAAAATGTACGATTTTTTCTAGCAGCTCAGTTTGCATGGCACTCTGATGAATCATCTGGAAGTGATGTGCTCTGACATTTCAAGTCATTACTATGCTTTCTTTTTCTTTTTCCAGCACCTCTGAGATACTGCACTACCAAAAAGCAAGTCACAGGCTGCCATATGCCAGATAGCCAATCCTCCGCAGACTGAAGTCCAACAGATGTAAAGAATCTCTCTTACGCAGCTTCTGCTGCTCTGGAAGCACCCTGGTCTTCTCTGGAAATACAGTATCCACATCTTAAGTCTTTTCAGCTAACCTCTCAACTAGATGAGGTCTTGTTATCCAAAATTTAACATCACTTTTTGGCACTCTACTTGCTCCATACATATTACAGTCCCTTACTTAAGGAGCCACGTCTATAGTTTAAGTGGCTGCTGTGTGTTACTGATAGCTGCCTAAAACAGCCTTTCCCTTTGCATACTGTAGAATAAGCTGCTCTGTTAAGAAAACATTGAGGAACCATTTCTCCAACATGTTGGGCTCCATTTGACAAGCCTGTGCTTGACCCAAGTCACTTCCCCAAACTGTTCAGCCAGGTTTTGCTAAGGACTGTTCCAGCTACAGTGTGTTAAATTTCCCACCCCTTCTTCCAGGGAACAATTCACATCTCGTCTGCATGCAATCTGCCCACAGAACGCATGTACAAGCTCTTTTTCAACGCAGGAGTTACCCTCCACAGATTTTTTTTTTTTTTCTTCTGCACCCAGACAGAGAGTGACTGCTCCTTCACCAACAACACCATAAGCTCCTTTCTGTTTCCCAGTTAATGGTGAAATACCCACACTAACTTGAAGGGAAGAATCCCAGGCAGATCCTTCAGTGCTCACCCCAGTGCCCTGGTATCTGTTCCACATGCACCTGAGCAGACCCCTACAAGCACAACACAGGGTACTCACATCATCTTGACTCCTTCCCTGTCCACATGATTAATCTCTGCCAACACTGCACTCATGTCAAGGTTTTTGGTCATTTCTTCTAAAGCATTTTCAGGAATCATATCTATTGAAAAAAGAAGTTAGAACAACTGCAATTCCCTTCCAACAAAAGCAATAAAAACCCCAGAGGCTTTAGGCTGTTAAACCCCTATGCCACTCAGAGCAGGCAGGGCCCCATCGCCCTCCAGGCTCTGCGGCAACCACAGCTCTGTGTCACAAGGCCCCGGTCCCTGCCTGTTAGGAGAAGCACGAAGGTCTTGGTTTCCAGGATGCCAGCCGTACTGACAGCTTAGTGAAGCTTTGCAGAGCGCGAGGTGTGGCACCCTGGGACTCCATACTCACGCTGATGTCCAACAATACAGTGAGCAGCCAGTAGCTTTAGCGATGGCACCTCAAACAACGCCTGATGAAAAAGGAGCTCCCGGGCAGTAGGACGCTTGCCAGGGTCCTGTTCTAGACACTTCTGAATGAACTCCTGAAAGAAAAATTGCGTAAGACCATGTGCAATGCCAATACGTCTGCAGGGACGCCGGTTCCTCCTCACTCACCCTCTGCAAGGGGTCCTCCAGCAGCTGGATGGCACTGTTAATGGCCTCCTGGGGCACGTAAGACGACTCTCCATTACCCTGTATTTCCAGCACTGCCATCTGCAAACACAAAGCAGCGCATCAGACTTCACTGAGAAATACTGACTACATTGAACAGAGCTCAAGGAGACCACTGCCAAGTGTGAGATCATAACAGCCAAGTCGTTTGGTGCTATTTAAGGTCACAGTTTGTGGCGGCAGAAAGAGAATGACTGCCTCATTATGATAGCTTGTTTCTAGCACCCTAACAGATTGCCAGGGAGACCTGAAAACTATGCCAGCATCACCTTAGACAGTAAGTATCTCCGTTTTGAACCTCATGATCCATTGGGCTGTACTTCTGCTTGATAATTCCCATTCTCTAATGAAGTACTAACTGGATCACTGCCAGAATCTGACAGTGTCCCTCCTGGCTGTATGAATAGCTCTGTATCACAGGCAGAAAAGCAAGCACACAACACCATCCAGAACTGGCTCCAGCCAACACATACACAAATTCCCAGCTAGGAAAGGCTGGCAAAAAGGTTCCAGAGAACATCTTAAGATTCAACTCAAGTTTTGCTTCCTAAAAGTTGTGTGTTTCCACATTTCTCTTCCTGCTTCACTTATGGGATGCGCAGCATAGATTCAGAATTCTTTGTGTTGCTCTTTCTGACAATTCTTCTCAGAAAATACTCCTACCAACAACTCCCATTTCCTAGACATGGGCCTACTGGTGGCAAGGACAGAGGAACCACTAAGCTGCTAAGATCAGGTATGTCAGACAGGTGCTGGCTGCAGTCAGGTGTATCAGGTGGGGACAGGCTGTCCCAGAAGAGCTATAGACTACATCTCTCCTCTCTTCCAGATACCACAGGAAGAACAGGTACTCCCCAGAAGGCAAGTTTTGTTCTCCATGTACATGAAGTACAATTTGTAGTAGTGATTGCTCCCACCAGCCAGCGGGTCAGACTTCAGAACTGGCGAAGACCCACAGAATAATGAATTACACATTAGGAATTTCAGAAAGAACTACACATTATTGAGTTATTTACTTCTTAGTAAGGCATTTGGGGGAGCCTTGATAGGGATCCCTCCAAGGCAAAGCACATTTGGTTCAGAGAACAAAATGCACTTGTTACCAAGCTAACCCACCCATAATCACAGCATCTCTACAAGAGCCTTCTCCTTACCTCAAATGCATACTCCCTGTCCCATAGCCGAAGTGTTCCACACTCACCTCCAGTGCACACATCCCAAAGGAGTAAATGTCCACAGCAGTAGTGACATTGGCAACTTCTGTAACATAGAAATAACGCTCTGTTATCAAACCATCCCTGCATTCAGCAGAACCACCTCTGTATCATGCTATGATAACCCTGCAAGCTATGATAATCCTGCAGCCTTCTTTCCCTCCTCTGGTATCAAAAGACAGACGAGTTGAAACATGTAAGTGGGCAAATAACTCAAAACTGTTAGCGTGACATCTGTCATGAGCCTGTAGCTGAAAACAAGATGCAGAACAGCTTGGAAGCATTAGTAAGGCCAACAAAGCCAGGCTTGCAGTTGTAGCCACACCGTACCTCCATACTCCGGGGCAAAGAAGTGCAGGTTCTTCTGCTCCTCACGACAGGTCTTCACATGGTTGTTAATTGTGTCCGGTGCCACTAGAAGAAAGTCACAAATGCTTAGGGTACAGGAAACTGTAGCCCATCCCTGACTAGATCCTAGGGAACACATGCAATTCCAGGACCCTCTTGTGCCCAAAGGGGCAGCACAGTGGAGTCAAGTTGGCCCTTCATCAGTCCCTCATCTCAGGTCACCTGCCCTGATACACTTCTCCATTGTTTCCTTGGCTGCAGATTGACTAAGGCAGTTTAGCATTACTCTCCAAGAGCAAACCCGGTGACCACAGCTTCTGCTGAACGGGAAGACAAGCTGGGAAGGACTCCCTGTTGAAGTGAGAGTCCTGAAAGCACCTAACTTAGATCTATAGCATTTATCACAAGCAACACAACTACAACAGAAGCCCTAGGAACAGCCAGAGATGCCAAGGTCACTGCAATTAGTCACCACCTCAGGGGTCTAGGAGAGAGATACATCTACACGGCAACTCTTCCACACATCAGTAGGGCACTGGTGCCGAAGTGCCTCAAGACAAAAGTCAGGCAAAGCTGCTGAATGAGGAGAGATGACCACCCCAAGAACAGAAGCCTCCCGGCAGCCAGCACTTCCACAACAACAACCACAGACCACTCAGAGCTACAGGGAGGGAGTAACTCCCAGCCACAAGAACAAAAAGCAGAACACACAAGTATGGACCCCCCATAAAAGATAAAAGCCTTTGGGACAGGCACCTCTGAAAAGACTGCAAACAACTCTCCAAAACTAAGCAGCTGGCTCCGCCAGGGAGAAACACTGAGGTAGGCAGGGAACACGGAGTCACCATCTCATCTGAAGCTCTACTCCCACCCTTGAAAATGCCTGGTTCCACAGTCTCAGGCCCATCTCCCACTTTGTCAGCCTCCTGGACAATCGCAGTTGGTCCTGGTCTGTACTGCTACAATGTGGCCTTAACAAGGGACATGCCAAACCGCCTGTATTTTTCCAGGTGTTCCTGGATTAGGGCAGAACACACCTAAGAGGATTGCCAGTTGAATCAGACTGAACTAGTTCCCAGCCTCAGAGGAGAGATGTTCTTTGAGCTCTGGTCAAACAAGAAGGATCTTCCTTGGTAACTCTGCTCAACCTCGGTGTGTGGCACATACCAAATCACATTATTTTATTCGAGCATTGGAAACAGAGCGTGCTCCAATGGCCAGCATCTACTTTCCCAACCAACTATTCATGAATAGTTTATTGCTTTTTGTTCTTGTGCTAGCTCTTATCTTGGGACTCCAGTGACATTAATTCATTCCTGGTGCTTACCTGTTAACAGATACCACCAGGTCCTCTCAGCTTCACAGCCCTAAGCAAAGCAAGCTAAATTCTTTGTCTTCCTCTTAAGACCTGTGCTGTGTTTTCCCAGTAACACTGACTGCTTTAGATGAGCTCTGGCCAGGGCCATGCACAATCACACCAATTCTCTCTACTGGGGACTCTGCCCCAATGGATCTTAACATTGCACACTAGGCAAGTGGGTCAAATTCCTCCCCTGAACAGCTAGCAGACGCCAGATCCTCCCAGTTCCTTCATCATTTGGGAACTGAGGCTTCGTGCAGCTTTGTATTTTGCACTACTGAGTTACCTGCAGCTGGAATTTGTCCAGTCCTCTAATGTTTTCCTCTGTTTCTGGATGATAACCTGACTTGCCTCAACATCACACGTTCCCTACATCTCCTATTAACAGCCTCAACATTAATGAGATCAGTGCCCGAGGGACTCCAAACCCTCCGGTGGGGCAGCCCTTTTTCAGCTTCTACCCTGTCACCATGCCTCCAGCCAGCGCCTGGCTGCGTACAGGGTAAATCACCCAAGGTCTATCCAGCACAACAGGTTCTCATACTGGGCCTTCTAAAGAGCTTCCCAGACATCCACAATGGAGAAGTCCTGTTAGCTTGCTTTTGTCTACAGGCAGTATCTGCCTTAAGTAGCCCACTGTACATATCTGGTCTGTAGGTGTCTACTAAGAGAGGAGAGGCTACATCAGGTCTTCTCCAGCAGCTGTATTTCCTTACCATGTTTTCTTTCTGTAGATGTTTTAGTCAAGAAATCAAGATCAGGTTTAAGAGTACTAGCCCTTCCCTCCTCTAAGTAATTTATTCTTTTCTACTCAAAAGAACAATTCACCACTGTAAAAACAAACAGTTTAATACTGTCAAATGAGGTTTTGCTGCCTTAAAAAAAAACAAACAACAACAACAAACAAAAAACCCCACCACCATACACACACACACAGAGTCACTCATGACTTTCAGAGCTTCTGCTGGAGGTCTGCAGGAACTAAAAATAATTTTGCCTAAATATATTGTATACCACTGGTGGGCATGAGGGGTGGAGATGAGGACAGCTACAGCCCTAGGAAGGGCAGAGGCTGGTCACATCAAGAAATGCAATATTGCTGCAGATACGCAGCCACCTGTGTACTGTGAAGTTTTTGATCAAGAACAAATCTTTCCTCAGAGTGACCAATACTATTAAGATTTTCACATTCCCCTGAGGCCTAAGCTGTAACGTAATCATAGGATCCCACTGATCCCAAACGCGTTTGTTCCCTGTCTACAAGAACTATTACTTTGTCCCAGTTTTTGCAGAACAAGCAACAGACTTCAGAAACCCTTCTGGTCTAAAGTCCGTTTTGGTTTTTTTTAATGGGATATTGGATGTTTCTGTGCAGCATGCGGTATACATGAACTATCAAACAGCTGTGTTTGTGAACCCTGCTAAAGCTAGCACCTATTGCATGCATGACAGCCTCTGACTACCGGGAACTAACTAAACTATCTGAGGATATAAAATAAGACTTATAAAATAAGTCTTCTATTTGTTCTGCCTTTCCTATCAGTACAATGGATTGTAAGAGTAAACAGGAACTCAAACCCCATGTTCAGTTATGCAGTTCTGTACAGTCAGAGGTCTGGCAACCACCACGAAGATCCTGCGTGTAGCTGAGCTGCTGCCAGGGCAGCACCACTGTTCGGCCAGGGCCAGACCCCTGCAGAAGGACAGACATATCAAGGCCTGCCCTGAGAGAGAGGCACTGTGCCAACGGTGACAGCGTTGCAGAAATTCAGCACATGCCATCAAGTGTTGGACCAGTGCCCTCAGGCAGGAACTCTGGCAAGGTACTACACAGGACAACGCTGTCCTGCCAAACGTGGAGCAGAATCAGCCAAGTATAAAGTCATCTTCCAAATGATGTTTTGTTCAGCTTCATTTTCTAACGTGTTTTTAAACGCTGTTACTACCGCGTGTTGGATGGCAAGGGCCAGTTCACTATCTCCCAGTCATTCTGTCCTTTGCTCCTGGGCCCTGTTTAAGAACGGGGAAGAGGCAGTAATCAACCATAAAAAGGCATTATCAACAGAAACCTTAGTCAGCAATGTAACACAGGCACTCCCATACCAGAAAGGCAAGTACAATGGAATCCCAGCCCAACCTCTGTCTATAATGGCTGTCTGCACCTCATTAAGGGCTTGATAATAAGCTTCTCTGCATCCAGGTCCTATGGACATTCCAGACATTTCTGGAAAGAGCTGGGCTTGCACTGTCTATGGGAACTTCCAACTCAGACACACAGAAAGGCAGTTTTGAGTTTGCTGGTTTAGGTCACCCAGAGACCTGTCCTCTCTGATATTCTGGTCACTGTGCCTCTGAACTCGTAGGGTCCCACTGACTGCTGCAGAGACTGGCTCTGCAGCTGGGTTTGATTAGCCACTCTTGGCAAGCCTTTTCCCTGTTTTAGCAGTTTACATCACAGCTCATGTGCAACTTGGCTCGAAGTCACATGCATAACCTCACTCTGTTATTGCAAGCTGATGCAATGCAACAGCAGAGCAATAGCACAAGACTACCAGATTCTTCACCGTATGCCTTAGAGCTAAGCTGAGATAGCCTTGCTGGACACATCCACTCCATTCATCACTGACAGCAGCAACCTGCTACTGAAGTCAACTCTGAAAAACTCACTGCAAGCATGTTAAATAAGGCAGACAAAAGTGCTGTTACACCTTGTGACAGTATTTAGAAGCTGGGACAAGAAACTTTGTATTTGGTCTGCTCTAGTCACTGTTGTAGGTCCATCACCTTGGTGTGCAAGCCACTTAGCACAGATAGGGGCTTGAGGGGAGCTTTGCCCAAGTGTACATGTTAAAACAAACTTTTAACTGTACAAAGTAAGAATACACACTTTAAGGTACCTCTGACACAAGCTTTTCTGACTGATTTGCACGTGGCTGCCACCTGCCATCCACTTCTATATCTAGTGATGACTCTTAATTCTGCGAATGACCAGATGCATGAAGGCTAAGGACAGTTATGTTAAGCAAGACAAACAATGAAGCTCAAAAAAGAAAGCCAGATCACCAAAATTAACAACAAACTTGTCTTCTCTGTGGCTGAGAAAGGCAACAGCAGGGGGCACACTACAAGACATAGCACCACATGACTAATCAGTCTGGTAGGAAATTAGCAAAGTCAAGACGAATTTTGGAAAAGGATTCAGCCAAATATGGTGTCCATGGAGGGCAGATGATAGGAAGAGATGTGAAGTACAGTAAAAGGTCAGACAAGCAACTTGGCTTCAGCAAGTTGAACTCAATGTGACAATAAAAGCATAAAGAGAAATAATGAGCATTATTACAGGAACATGCAGAGCTTGCTAGACTTCTCAAACCCTCAAGGACGTGCTAGAGCGAAGAGCTCACCAGGATAAACAGACAGCTCAGAGCACCCGTCAGTCAACAGGAGCGTCAGCCAAGAACGCACTTGGTAATTCTACTTCCCAACTGTCACCAATGGCAGGTTTTAGCAGAGATCACAGAATCACCAAGGTTGGAAAGG